ATATATATATAACGCAATCTGGTCATGGATCAATGTGCATGTATAAATGAATGAAATGCATATGAAATACGTTAATAAAATCTCTTGGTACGTCATAAAACCATTATGCCTCTGAATAATATTACGAAATAAACTTTATCAACTTATGTATTTTCTGAGACTCATGAACATATGATAGAATAATATGACACGTGGGGAATCAAGAACATAAGCATCTCTAATATTTCTATGAATAGAGTCATTTATGGAAGATGTGCATTTGCTTGTTTTGTTTGTATCGTATGGATCATGCCAAAAAGAAAGAAGGGATAGCCTTAACATACCTGAGTAGGGAAAAATTCGTATGATATTTTTGAGACAAAATCTACATGGGCAAGGAGAGATCAGTTGGTCTTGCACATAAGTCATACATTGTGGACCTACTCCAACTTCCGGAATCAAAATCTGACCCTGAGATCAAAATTTCCACTATCAGTCTAAATTTCCAAAAAATTCAACTTTCGTCATTTCAAGCCTAAATAAGGTACGAACCTTCAAAACACAATCCAGACATGTCCCTAAGCCCAAAATCACCCAACATACTCATTTTGATTTTAATAGTCCCTCAAATACGTTAATCCTCTATCACACACACTCTCTACTCCACTTAACCATTAGAACATAGAAATGGCACAGATCTTAGGGAAAATCTCATGAACATGTCAAAGCTTAAATAATCAATTTTGGATCATCCCTTTCTTAAGGTCCAATAAAGAAACACTAGAGATGATCGCAAATGGCTCTTCTTTTGACTCTTCTTTTTACATAGAAAGTTCTTTCACAAATAACTTGCACACATTGAAAACATGTATAACCCAAATAAATATTAGCCATCAATTTCACCTTTAAGACAATAGGGAGAAAGCTGTAATGCCATGACTAAGAAGCTAACAGTTAAACACAAAGTTTGATTCATGAGTTAACTTATTTTAAGCACAGTACTACCCCTTTTAGTAACCCAAGAATTTCACAATCTGCCCTTTTCAGAAATGAACCTCTCGTTGTCACCTAACCTAATAAGTTAAGAGTCATTTAATGAATATAACATGTTGCTGCCACATTGGGAAGGGTAAGCTTATCCAAAATATTGAATTAATTAGTTAATTCCCCACTAAAAATCATTAATTATCCACATAATTAGGAATTATCTCAAATTACTTAGAATACTACTCATTTTTAACATACTTTATATACCTTACTAACATGGTCATGTGGTACCATATAAAATAAATACATACACTATCTCATTAAAATATCCATGTATATATATANTTAATTTTTGTAAAACAAATTTAATTACTAACAATTGTAGAATTAAATCCTATATGCAAAATGCGACATATTTTTGTATTTTTTATTAATTTAGCGAATAAACAAGCACAGACAAATACAAATAATTTCTCAAAATATCACAAAAATTGCACACCAAAGAAAAATCATTTTATTTTTGAATTTTTTGGGAGTAATTCTCATATTGGGCAAAAATCACGTGCTTACAGTTACCATATTCGCTTCACTGAATGAAGCATATCAAGTAGGACGGGCTTCATAATTTTTCATCAAAAGCACATTGTTTGCCTCAATCATTAACGTATTATTATTATGGTGCGGTAGGACTCAAACTAATGTCTTATCCATATAAAGGCATGTTACGCCATAATAAGTTGGGACTCAAACCCAACTCTTATCATCATGGAGCACTAGGACTTGAATCCGATGTCTTACCCTCATGTTGTGGTGGGACTTGAACCCACCGTCTTACCCTCAATTAATAATAAAATATGCCAAAATATACTAGAGTCATCTCCGAGCCTTTAAACATGGCGAGTCTTTGACAACATTAGCAACGTAACTTACTTGTATTTAATCTATAACACTGTTAATTTTTTCTTTCTTTTTTTATGGAAATCAGATTTCTAATTCTAATGCCATGCATCGCTGGATAGTTTCCATCAATTCTCAAAAAGTGTCTGCCCAGACAGACGTATACACATAGGCAAATCAAAAAAATGGATGCAGTAGAATACAAACATAAGTCAACAGTTTACACTGCAGTCTAATGTAAAATAAATAGTGTAGATACCACTTGGCAGAAAAATTATCATGGAAAATAGATAAATTTGAGATGAGTATAAGATAAAATATGAATGAGTTAGAAGAATGTAACTGTATCTTTAATTAGCATTCAGTCGATTGGCTTCCATCAATTGTTAGACTTCTATTTTTATTTTGTTTGATAGCCACAGAATTGTGGTATAAGGATAGTGCACAACACATGCCAACGACATGAAATGCCAACTTATCACTTGGCAAAGCAGCAAAAGCAATTGTAGCTTCCATGGAAGGTTTTCACTTCTTTTAGGAAGTATTAGAAGAATATAGCAATTCATGTTGTTAACATGTTAAGAAACTTAGCTCAAAGTAACAATATAAAACAAGGAAAAACAAGCTAAGAGATATAGAGAGAAAGAGAAGAGATATTCTTATTTCCTCCATGTATTCAAGTGTTTTTCAAGTGTGTACAATATTACTTCGCATCCTCTATTTATAGTATTACATAGAGGTATACAAAAGAATACCATAAATATGACATTAAACAGTTGACATCATGGAGGAAGATCATGGGGAGGTTATAGAAGTATGAGAGTTACAACCATAACTCCATAAGTATTGGAGTAGTGGAAGTTATGGAGATAATGTAGAAGAGTAGTGGGTACTCCTTTATGATTTATGGACATCCTTCATTAGATAATTATTTATAACATAATAAAATATATTATATTATTTTAAAATATAAAATTAATAATTTATAAAAATAGAGAAAATAATTTTAAAGTTAATAACTAAAAATATATAGAAATGCAATAAATATTTTGGATAATTAATTTAAAATAAGCTAAATATATTTAGTAAATTATTATGGATGATGAAGCATAAAAAAAGTAATTAGGAAAAATAAGGGCTAAAATTGGTCGCAACATGTAGCAGACTTACTTCCATAAACTCTAGAACAAGGATGGGGATAGGAACATCGTGCTTGGTGAGTTGGAGAACTCAGAGAGACAACATAATTTTTGGTTTTGTAGGCGTATTAAGATTGAGGAGGTTGACGGGGTAATGCGGAAGATAAGCAGGGGTAAAGCGACTGGGCCAGACGAGATCCGGTGAAAATTTGGAAGGACGCATGCCAGGCAAGTTAGGAGTGAATTACTAGATTGTTTAACGTTATTTTTAGGACGAAGAAGATGCCCGATGAATGGATGTGGAGTTTGATGATTCTGTTGTACAAGAATAAAGGTGATATGCATAAGCGCAACAACTATAGGGGTATCAAGCTGCTGAGTCACACTATGAATGTTTGGGAGAGGGTGGTGGAGAGGAGGGTGAGGAGAAGTGTGTTTATATCAAGCCGGGGCGGTCGACTACAGAATCCATTCATCTTGTGAGGAGATTTGTGGAGCATTACAGGGAGAGGATGTAGGATTTGCATATGGTGTTCATTGATTTAGGAAAAGCCACGACAAAGTCCCGAGGGAGGTTCTATGGAGATGTTTGGAAGTTAGCGGTATTGTAGTAGCATACACTAGGGTGATATGTACGATGGTGCTAAAACTCGGGTAAGGACTGTGGGAGGAGACCCAAAATATTTTCCAGTAATAAACATCAAGGATCAACTCTTAGCCCATTTTTATTCGCTTTGGCGATGGATGTGATGACGCAACACATCCATGGGGAGGTGTCATGGTGTATATTATTTGCAGATGACATAATGCTGATTGACGAGACAGACCCTATAGTCTAAAGGTTTCAAGCTTAGTAGGACGAAAACAGAATATTTGGAGTGTTAGTTCAATGATGAGATGCATGAAGCCGAAATGGACGTGAAGATTGATACACAAGTCATCCCCGACAAGTATAGTTTCAAATATCTTAGGTATGTTATCCAATGAATTAGGGAGCAGGATGGATGAAATAGAGGCTCGCATTTGGTATTTTGTGTGATAAGAATGTGCCACGAGGATTTAAGGGCAAGTTCTATTGAGTGATAGTTAGACTAACTATGTTGTATGGTGTTGAGTGTTAGCCACTCAAAAAATCTCATTCAAATGATGAAAGTAGCAAGGTATTTGATGAGATGGTTCCGACACGTGGATGTGTGGGCATACTAGGAAAAATAAGATTAGGGTGGAAGTTGCCCACGTGGAAGACAAACTGCATAATCGAGGCTGAGATGGTTCCGACACGTGATGAGGAGAGACGGATGTTCCGATAAGAAGGTGTGAGAGGTTGAAGTTGACCATGATGAATTTGAGGAAGGGTAGAAGTAGTCCAAAGAAGTACTGGAAGAGGTGCGGAGATCGAGAATTAAGGTTCAATGTTGATAGGTAGTTGAGAGTTCCTCAGTCTTACCAGTAGTAATAGTAATATTCTTGTATTTTCTTGTTCCCAAATTTTGTTATGTGTCATTCTTATTAGCAGTATTAATAGTATTCTTACTACTATATCTTTCTTACTACACGTTGTGTCTTTGTCTTTCTTGTTGTTTTTATTGTTGGTTGTTCTCTATTCTTACTGAATTTGTTATTGTTGTTGTTTGCGTTGTAGAGGAAAGACGTATCAAAGGAACGAATGGGCTTTTTATAAATTCCTTCTTGATTTGTGTATGCTATATCTTGCCAATAGGTGAATATCGAAACATCGGAAGAATGGTATTATTGGTTAAAGAGTGAGCTCATAAATATAATATATCGAGGGTGTGACCTAATTGTCTATGGAGTACAAGCAAAGGCAAATAATACCTAAGGTTCGAACACCACCTATTTTAGTTGGTGGATCATGGACACCACCTATTTTATAAAAAAAAAAANGGTTGTAAGAGAGGCACCCCAGGACAACCATCTTTCTGTTGATAACCAGTAACTCAACAGAAAGTATCATGAAGCCTTTTTCTTTTTCGTTAACAAAGTTTACTCTTGACAGTATCAAACACTTCCACTTTGATCTTCTACAATAACATAAATTTCATATAATTCCCCTGAAAAAAGGGCATGCAAGTTCTAACTAATGAAAGTTATGAAAGTTATGAAATCAACTACAAGAGATGTTTCTTGAACAAGACTGAAGATCTTCCTAAAGGTTTTTCATCAACTCCTGACCCACAAGATATCTGTAAACAAGTATCTAACAAATTTCATATTTCACTCCGGCAGAAAAGACACCAAAAATCACACTGTGCTTTCAAGTTCCTCAATTACCAAGCCCGTAACAAGTAGAGGATCCTATTCTTCATCTTCAGAGAGATCATTATCTTCCTGTTTCGAGAAGACAAAGCAATATAATATCAAAATCAACAAAGCAACCAGGGAAAATAACTACAAAAAGAAATCAGAAACTGTGATCCATGTGTGCAGGCAAAGACTTCTAACATCGACGAATGCATTTCTTCAAACCATATAAAGACAGCAAGTATATGATTTGGCGACCAGCAAGACTTATAGTAATGAAATTCACTCTAAAAATTAAGTACAGGTCTTAGGGGAGTATTTGAAAGCTAATGAAGGAGTTTGTTTGATTGTACTCAAGCTCCAGCTTCAACAGCAATTCAGACATTTCCAAAACTCATTCTGAGGAAAAATTTATAATGACAACAATACCAAGGACTCGTGATACTGCAAATCCAAATACAATCAAATCCATTCTACCTCCGCCAAATGAGTCCCTTACTTTTTTAACTTGGTACATGTTGCTGTAAGTCCAACATCAAACTGTAGCAATTCCCTATTGGTGGAACCTTATTACTAACCGTAGCAGTGACACGGAAAAACAGTCTAACTAGCCCAGAATAAGATAATACTGTCATTCTCTATGGATAATACGCTAATACTGTCACACCCCTTTCCCATAGAAAATGAAGAAACAAGCAAAGATGCTTATACAGTTGATAATTATACATGGTCCACCGGATATGCCACCGTTGATAATTAAGCCTCATACACTAGGTAACGTGTATGTATACATGCAATGCATCCAGTAATAGATGAGGCAGGAAGAGATGAGGCAGGAAGAGTTTTTCAAAATGAACAATGCTAACTTTAGGGGAAAAAAACATACTTCCCGTGTGTGTATATATCAAAGAAGAGTTTTTTTAAGTAAAGAAACAAAAATGATAGAATTTATAGGAGTTGCAGATAAGGAGAGAGAAACTAGATTAAGAAAAAAATTCATCAAAGACTAGGCCCATCATGTAGCCTAACTGACAAGATTATGCCAATATCTATGTCATGCAGCTGACTCAAGGACTGAAGTAGATGTTAGTTCTATCAAGACAACGATACAGGTTTTGATGACCGTTTTGATGATAATGACAAAAGGCATATCTTCTTCCAAATTTCAAAACACACATGCTTTCTGGTTCTAACAAGTTAATAACACCCTCAAATTTTACCAAGGAACACCAATATCAAACAAAACTACAAAGCAAACTAAATCAATATAATTTTGATTAGAAATTAAAAAAACAAACCTTGCTTTAAGAGGTTCAGAAAAATTAATCTGGATAAAGATTTAATTGTTTATATATATTTAATAGCTAATTAACTGAAGAAAAAAATATATGAAAACTTACCAATATCAACGTATCGGCTATTTTTTATGAATGCTCAACTTTTTGAATTTTTCGCCCAACCGTTTGTCGTTGACACATACATCTAATGTAAAGATTGAAGACTTCAGAAGCGCCACGTAAAGACCCATGAAACCTTGAATTGAGTTAATATACATGGGTATTGTTTATACAAGTGATACTTGAAATGCTGACTGAATATCAGAATTCCATAAGGGCATTCATACTGTTCACAAAACTTCTTTTTGTTTGGGTCTTGCTGATCCAGTATCTTAACAAAAAAAGAAATCCAAACAAACTTTATCTCTCCAACACTAATCATCACCAATGTTACTTAAATCGAGTTGTTGGAACTTATATAAGTCAAATAAGCACTCAGAAAGCAATCCCACCATTGTAAGGCTTCCACATAACATGGAAATTGTAGACAAACTTGGAAAGGAGTCGGACTTTATCCATAGAAAAAGAACTGTCAACCCTTTGATATTCGCCAAAATGTAACATGTCGTAGAATACTTACGGTTCTAAGCATGGAGATGGCGGTGAACATATCTCAGCAACGAGGTTGGTCAATTCCAGATTTCGGAGGTCCGAAAGTATACCCTCAGCACTATCACAAAGTCTCAAATAAAATTATAAGTACAAAAACCTAAAAACAAAAAAGTATCATTCAAATCAAAAGAGTTCTTACACTTAGGATGGATTAACACAAATGTCGAAGAAGCCAAGTTGCATGTGGCCATAGTTGCCAATGAATACACCATTACCCTGAATGCATTGATGGCAGTGAATATGCTGGAGCCCAATTGCGACTTGCCTGAAAATATTTTAGAAAATAATCAAATAAAGAGACAAACGATCTTGAAATAAATAAGTTATTTCGATAAGAATACTTACTACAATAATTTCCTCAGATCAATCCCAAGTTGTTGAGCCTCCCACTTGTATTTTTGCTTGTTATTTAATTAGGTTTTTAGGGATGTGACTCTTTCAACAACCACTATGACTTTACTGCCACCCGCAATGACTTTACTGTCCCCCACAACTTCTATCAAAGAGTGTAAGCGTGGTCTCAGGATGAACTGACAACGCATTTGTTTCAATTGATTCAAATAATTCTGAGCAGTTTACATACTAGGATACAATTACGCACTCGCTTCCTCCTCAGAAGTATCCACCATAGAAATCGTAACTGCAATATTTTTCTCTATTGCCCACCATGGCGTGTAGCAAAATAATTTAAGTTATTCCACCATGGAGAAAGTGAAAAATATTCCAGTTAGGATTTCTATGGTGGATACTCCTATACCAAGACTTAGTCGGTTTTCAAAACACATGACTTAACAATTGCATATTAAGAAGAAACAAAGATTCTGAGGAGGAAGCGAGTGCGCAATTGTATCCTAGTGTGGAAGCTGCCCAGAATTATTTGAATCAATTAAAACAAATGCGTTGTCTATTCATCCTGAGACCACACTTACACTCTTTGATAGAAGTTGTGGGGGACAGTAAAGTCATTGCGGGTGGCAGTAAAGTCATAGTGGTTGTTGAAAGAGTCACATCCCTAAAAACCTAATTAAATAACAAGCAAAAATACAAGTGGGAGGCTCAACAACTTGGGATTGATCTGAGGATATTGGAGTAAGTATTCTTATCGAATTACCTTATTTATTTCAAGATTATTTGTCACATTATTTGATTATTTTCAGGCAAGTCACAATTCGACTCCATCGTATTCACAGACATCAATGCATTTACGGTAATGTTGAAAATGGTGTGTTCATTGGCAACGATGACCATGTGCGGCTTGGCTTCTTCGATACTTGTGTTAATCCTCCTAAATGTAACATCTCTTTTGATATGAATTGAATGATACTTTTTTGTTTTTAGGTTTTTGTACTTATAATTTTATTTGAGACCTTATAAATAGTGCTTATATACTTTCGGACCTCAAAAATCTGGAAACATTGACCAACCTAGTTGCTGAGATATGTTCACCGCCATCTCCATGCTTAAAACCGCAAGTATTCTACGACATGTTACACTTTGGCGAAGATCAATGGGTTCGCAGTTCTTTTTCTATGAATAAAGTCCGACTCCTTTCCAAGTTTGTCTACAATTTCCATGTTATGTGTTAGTCTTCAATGGTGGGATTGCTTTCTGAGTGCTTATTTGACTTATATAAGAGCCAGCAACTCGATTTATAACATTGGTGACGGCAAGTACTTTGATGATTGGTGCTGGAGAGATAATGTTTGTTTGGATTCTTTTTTTGTTAAGATACGGGATTAGCAAGACCCAAACAAAAAGAAATTTCGTGAACAGCATGAATGCCCTTATGGAATTTGATATTCAATCAGCATTGTAAGCATCACTTGTATAAACAATACCCATGTACAGTTAACTCAATTGAAGGTGTTATAGATGCCTTCCCTGAGCTTCCATTGGGTCTTTACGTGGCGCTTCTGAAGTCTTCAACCTTTACACTAGATGTATTGGTTTGAACTTACCTGTTGAGATGTAGGGGTTGATAGTTCACTAATATCTGCTTGAGAATTATTCAGTAGTTGTTGGTATCCTCCTCCGCCTTTATTAGTTATGCCCCCACGACCTCCCCAACTACATTTAGTGCCTCTTCCTCTTAGCATACTTCCTGATCAAAATCTAACAAGAAGTAACACATCAACCAACCAGAAGAAGTAAAATATGAACAAATTTAGCCAGTCAATTTTGAGCATAATATAAACTTTAATTGATGACTAATTTTAATTTCATGACTGCTAGGCAATATCAAGAAACTCCATCCAACTACGTCCAACTTAGTCACTCTTATAGCAGATGGAATAACTGGATACATACATTTAGAATGGTGCTAAATGGCCAAATTTACTGACTCCTAATATCATTTAGGATCAAACTTTATAAATAACAAAATATTTTACTTTCATCTACCAAGCCTCAATGTATGTCATTAAGTCATAAGCATGTATACATTTATGCTACAAAAACTTTATGTCAAACTTAAGTAGAAAACTTAGACTAACATTTTGAACTCCATAATTGGGAAGTAACACTATAATACTTCAAATGCAAAACAAAAATATAAAAGCACAGAAGAAAGTAATTTGACAACAAAAGGACATAATAATAGTTTTACTATGGAATGAAGCAAGATGTGGTGGACCTGAAAATTGTACTATACATACACACCAACAAGTTATGAAGACATATAAGAAAAGGCAAACCAAATAGGTCCAGAAATTTCCATCTCATGAAAATACCTTCTTAATGCTTCACTTCCTTTTCAAACACTCGTTATTGCTTTCTGTCCATCCATATTTGATACTAAATTTATGCTTCCTACTAATTCTTTCAAATTCTTACTATTTATCCAACAAATTTCACTTCATTCCATCAAACAGGTAATATGCAATGGTCAATCCCAAAAGTAATTTTGCAAATATGCAATGCTAGTATAGAAATGTTTAGGATCTGAACACAAGTAAGTTTAAACTTAAGACTAGTACTGTGAAACAAACCCGAATGAACTTTGTGTTTGAACTTTGATATTATTGAGATTTTCTTTTTCCTCGTTGTATTTCACTGAAGCAAGTATTGGCACATAGAGCAGGGGCGGATGTAGAGCATCATGGAATATGGGTTTCCGGGAACCCAATAACTCTTGCGTAAACTCTGTATTTATATTAAAAAAATCACTAAATATTTGTAAATATCTAACTGTGAACCCAGTTATTATTGCATATTAATTTGAAATTACGGTAGGAACTCATAAGCCTCAAATTCTGGATCCGCCTCTGACATAGAGCACATTTCAAAAGAAAAAAAATGAGACGTCCCTGCAAATTTTAGGCTAGAGGGAAATTTGACGCATGAGGTGGTAGTGTCTGTGGAGATCACGGCGGAGGTGGGCAAAAAGGAAAACCTAATGAACTTATGTCTCGATTTTAGGAGGGAATTGTTTGTACTTTGTAAATGGGGGAAATGTTTGCCGGGAAATTTTTTTTTT